CCAACCACCCACCTCACTCTCCTGGCATGCCTTGTTGTTTCTTAATTGCTTGTAATTAGGCAGGAGGCTGACCATTCTTGCCCCGATCCCAGGGGGCACTATTTGCAGCTCCATTCCTCCGCTACACCACAGCCCAAGCATCACAGATGGCATCCAGATGACAGTGCTCCCAGCCTACAGCCAGACTAAGCTTAGCCCTCAGGCCTCAGATGCATGCATTCATACCACCCTGCTCTCACTAGGACCTCTCACACACTACCCCTTCTCACAGGGTCTCTTTCACACATCAACAACTTATACTGCTTTGCTCCCTCTCAGAATGAGCCCCTCAGCCATAGGCTTTATCTGGTGCACACCTTGGGTGGCAGAGATACCGTCTTTTGGGCCTCTTCCACAACCCTCACCAGGGTAGTGGCCAGCCAATTACCCAACCAGGGCAACTCTATACATTCACACACAGTGGGGCTCCCTATCTTCCACCCCCCTCACTGGGGCTCTCATGGCCATACAGCGTAGGTAGCTCTGGTGGCTACCTACAGTGATGTGGGAGCTAGAGCTTATTGAGGCACCCCAACCCACCTTCCACCAGGGTGGAAACTGGTCTGGTATTTTCCTGGAGGCTCCCACACCACTAGGAGCACCCCATTCCTAGCAAGGTGCAGTTGTAGGTCATGCCTAGGACCAAAAGCCTCCTGCTCCTACCTGTAGATGTTCTCATACAGCAGTTCAACTAGGCAGTGTTTCCTGCCTGGCTGCCAGGCAGGAAACTGCTCTGTTTATATAGGCGACCATGGTTCTAATATGACCACCACAATCAAGCACCTGCTGGCTGCTTGACTTGGCCCTTAAAGTGGCAGGCACCAACAGTGCCCTGACACAGGAAGACTAATAAAAAATACAAACACAAAATGGGTGACACCTGGCTGGGTGGCAGCACTATGAAGAAGAATTTGGGAATCTTGGTACATCATAGACTCAATACAAGTCTTCAGTGTGATGCAGCTGTACAAAAGGCATTTTGGGATGCATTAATAGAAGCATTAGGTGCAAGACATGGAAGGTGATAGTACCTCTCTACTTGGCACCAGTTAGGCCTTGTCTAGAGTATGTGCACTTTTGTGCATTTAAAAAAGGATGTGGAGAAGTTAGAGGGTACAGAAGCAGGTGGCAAAAATGATAGGCAAGTCATACAAGGCAAGTCGTACAAGGAGAAGTTGAAGGAAATAAGCATGTTTAGTTTGTGGAAAAGGCACTTAAAAGGGGACATTATAGCAGTCTTCAAATACCTGTCCTGCTACAGAGAGTAGGACATGGACTAATGGCTTGAATTTGCAGAAAACAGGTTTTGCTTGGATACCAGGAAAAACTTTTTCCTTGTTAGAACAATGAGGCAATGGAATAGACTGTCTGGAGAAGTTGTGTGTGGAGGCTCCATCGTTGGAGGTGTTTGAGAAGAGTTGGTCAGGAATGATCTAGGCATAGCCTGTTTTCTATTATTTGTTTTTTTCCATGCTTCTGGACTTTGCTGGTTGCCACATGGGGTTGGGACGGAATTCGCCCCCTCCTACTGCTACATTTGTCAAGGTTTTGTTTTTTTTAGCCTCCCTGAGAAGCACCGGTTGCCAAGGCCAGGGATTTTAACTGGGGCGTGATTGGTTTGGTCTGTGGTGGTTTTTGCCTTCCTCTGTAGTTTGTGTGTGTGTGGGGGTGGCCCTCTTCCTGGGATATTGTGAGTGTTTTTTAACAACCTATGCAACAGAAGAATGTCGACTGCTGTGGTCTCCCTGCTCCACCTGTGACAGATCAGGGTGTTATGTGTTGTGGTTATGTCAGCCTTGACTGTGTAGTTTTGCTAACAGGTTAGACAATGGATTTGTGCGGGACGATTTGGATAGGGATGACCTTGCCTGAGACAAGGGGTTGAATTATATGATCTCTGGATATTTCTTCCCTATTTCTCTATGAATCAGTGTAGGGTTTTATTTTCATGAGCTATGATCTTTCTTCCGGAGGCTGATATGTAGTAACAGGATGATCCAATAATTTGGGAACTAGCTCAAGACTTGGGAGGAGTGAGTTAAATTACCTGCTTCCATCAGAATAAACCTGGCTGACCTTAGGCAGGTCACTTAATCTCTCAGATCCCCATCTATAGCACCCCACAGGGATTTTGGAATAAAAATTATATTGTGCTCAGATACCATGGCAACAGAGACCTTATTAGTAGGCCTGTCTGAAGCAGCTAGCATTCGCTTTGGATTCAGATTCAACCGATTCGGGGGACAGTGATTCGATTTGGTGATTTGAATCACTGTCCTGAATCGATTCAGAGATTCGGTGTCTGCCAAATTGGCCGAGTCTCCGAATTGGCCCCATCCCTCACCTGCTCTCCCAGCCCCGCCCAGCGCTGGCCCACCCAGCCCCAGCTCCCAGCTCGTTGAAAAAAAAATCCCGGCACTCACTGGCTCCTGCCAGGCAGGGGTCGATCCCCGCTGCCCCCTACTGCCCTGCACTGCATGTGGGGCTCTGTCATGAGCCCCCACTTCCTGCATGCTCTCCTGGCCCCAGCATCTGGCTCTTTAACCCCCACCCCAAAAAAAAAGCCCCACTCACTGGCTGCTGCCAGGCGATCCCTGCTGCTCCCCACTGCATGGGGGGGGGGGGCTCTGTCATGAGCCCTAGTCCCCTGCGTGCTCTCTCAGCTCCCCCATGGCTGTCTCACCTGCTCTAGCTCCTGGGCAAAGCACTGGATTTGCTGCACTTTTGGTCCTGCTACCAAAACAACAGTCCCATGAGAGGAGTGGAGCAGACTCTTGGTTCACAGATGAACAGGGACAACTTGGAAGCCGGGATACGAACCGTAATGACTAGTATCCCCTTCCTGTCCAGGTCAGGGGGCCTGGCAGGGGTCCCCCATGGTCCCCTTCTCCCTCCTCCAGACCCCACTCTCCCGCCCCCTATTTACTAGCATGGAGGTGGTGAGCAGGGACTGCTCGAATCTCCAAAGCTCTCCAAACTCTTTTCCTAATCGATTTGGAGAGCTTCAAATCGATTTGGACCTTTTAATTGATCTGATTCGATTTGGATTCAGAGATTTGGCCGCCAAATAGGGCCGAATCTCCTCTGAATCGAATCGCTACCCAAAGTTTTGCACAGCCCTACTTATTACTACCTGTATTTGATAGACATAATTAACCTCTCTGGGAAAGAATTTATCGGCCCTTCTACTTGGGCTATGATCTTCCACAGTAGAGTCAGGACTTGGACATCAGTCATTCAATAGAGAGCCATACCTGTGTGGGAAATGGTTGTGATTTTTTTCAGCAATTGTTGAGTTGAGCTTCCTGTGAATTGGTAGGAAAGCGTAGTTAGGCTTCACTCTCCCATTTCTCAGATGAGGCAGAACCAGAGCCCACTCCTGACTTGAGATGTGCAGCATATTTGCATCACATCTCAAAGCCAGTGAGAACGAGTCATGAGTTGAAAGTTTACCGCATAGGTAAGTTTGTAGACCAGGGCTCACCAAGTTATAGCCAACAGGACCAGATGAATTTGGCACCACTGCTTTAGACCATAATTGCTGAAATTTGATAAATTTGGGCTGATGTCGATATTTTGCTAGGAAGTTAATGATAGCACTCTTGCACTTCAGTGGGGGGGCAAAGTGTTTCTTCGTTCATTTGTAAGGCATATTGGGAATGATGCTTAGACATTATTCAGTGATGGGCACCTTCACTGGGAAGAAGTGGACAAAAAGATTGATTAGACAAAAATACACCAAATGTCTATGCTGTTTATTCTGTAATAACAAAATCCCTTTTTTCACAAACATGAATATGATAACAGAAATATGGGAACGTTTGTTAGAGTTATATGCAGCAGGGCAGGGGAAGGCCTTTCGTCATTAGGATGGATAGGGATTTGCCAGTGGTTTCACCCTCCCTAATAACAGAGCTATCAAATGCACATCATAATTCTGTTGCATAGCATCAGGTTACCTGCTGGGTTTGGGCCTCTATTTGAGTCATCCAGTAGCAAAACTGGCAATGACGTGCACTATTTGGGCAGCCTGCTGCTAATTACACAATCATCCAGGCAGATGTTTTGCCTGCACATGGCAAATCTCCCTTCAGTCCACTATCTTGCTTGTAAGCATTTTCTTTGAGTGTACTCAGTTTGGGTTTTATTCTTAGCACTTCATGCCAGGACTCCTGAGACACGCGTCACTAGGAAGCAGTTAGTCTAGCCACTTCCTTTTTAATTGCTGTCTGCAGAGCCTCTCTACTGTAGAGCTGAAGCGAATCTGTGACACGGGAGAGAGACTTGCTTTGCTGCTTTTGATTCGGTCAGCATTCCCAGGCAGCCTTTACAAGGAAACATAATCACCAAACTTTGTGCTGTTTTACAGTGCAGTAATAATAAAGCTTCTGCTGGATTTAGCTGGACTACTCACAACTGAAATTAAAATTACTAACGTGCAAGCATGTGCCAGAATTCACTGATCAGGAAGGGAATGCTTAATATTTGTTGTTTCTGCAGCGATGAGAGTCTCGGACTAGGGAAAATAAAGTGGTGACTGTGGCTTTGCATAAAGAGGGGGGTATCTCTTCCCATCACGCTGGTGCTCTTCTGTGTGACAACTGGACAATGAGGCACAGTGGACAAAGGCAGCAGTGACCTACCAATAGGAACCAAAGTATAATCAGCTCTTTATTTAAATAAGGAGTTTTTAATGTTAAAATATTGGCCTGGCTTATTTTTCTTTAGTTATGACTAATATTGGAATATTATTGGAAACTTACATAGTAATGGGTATTTTCACATGCTGTTTAGGCAAGGGGCAGACCTTTAATTGCTATGAATTGTCACAGTTCCAGTGATCTCTCAAGACCGGTCTGCACGTCCACTCCCTCCATGTGCATAATGATGTTTGATGTTTGACACTTTTAACCTGAACTGTTTCTCATTAATACTCTTTCTCTCTCACTTGCTTCTGCCAGGAGTAACATTTTCTTTTTTCTGGAAGACTCAGGACCAGCAGGCTAAATATCCCCCAGCCTCCGGGGGACAGGTCATTTCTAGTGGTTTTAAAATCTGCTCCAGTGAAGGTGAAGGCTCTGTAGAATTCTATGCCCGTGGGAATTCGATGAAGTGGCAGGCGAGCTTCAGTCCACCAGGTAAAATGTATTGATCATTCCCAAGGGCTTGATATGGCTGTACAATCATAACAACACAGCTTCCATACCTAAAAAGAAAAGATGCTTTATAAGAAAATAGAGCAGAAGAAGAGGGAGAGTTTTGGGATGTCAGTGATGTTATATGATGCACAATTACAATTCAAGTAATGATCCTAGGGTCTGATTGTGGATTTCCAGTCCTTAACTAAAACATTTATTGATAACAGTATCCTCTTTGGTAGAAATGACTGAATGAGGAGTGTAGGATTAAGCCTTTGCTGTTGTCATTTGATACTTTTAAAAGCTGGACAAGTATCTAATTTTGCACAACCTTTTAATCGTAATCTTTCTGATAATGCTTTAATTGGCTAAGAATTCTGTACTTATGCAGTACAGTTTGACCATTTCATTGCTTGATATAAAGAATTTTGTGTTTACATTTACTCCATTGCTTTGCACACATGTAAGCCTCTTTAACTGAGCTAAAACTTACTGGACAGGAAGGCTCTAAATGGGGTTGATGCTCGGACTTGGCAGTGACTCTTAGTGTTTTGCAGGTCATTACTGGACTCACATTCTCTTCACGTGGAAATCAAAAGAAGGACTGAAGGTCTATGTGAATGGAACTTTAAACACCACTGACCCAAATGGGAAAGTTTTCTATGATTATGGGGACCCTACAGCAAATCTGCTGACTGGGACAGAGGGTGATCAAACCAAACGCTATGTGAATGGAGCTTTCGATGAATTCATCATATGGGAAAGGGCGCTTACCCCCGATGAAATTGAGCAATACTTTACAGCTGCTATTGGTAAGTGGAAGCATTGTTATCATACCACGTATTCCATTTGTGTAAACACCAATTAAAAAAAAAAATTGGGGGTTTTGTAAAACTCAGGTATTAAACTGCTTCTCTTGGGCACCCTCTACACATGCATGTAAAGGTGCAATGGGATTTAATGCACAATCTGCATAATAACACCTGCCATGCCACACGTACATGGCAGGAGGTGTGAGCGTGGGTTTATGCATTAAATCCCATAGTGCCTTATTGCCAATGCTAGAGGAACCTAGAGCAGCACCTGGCTGGCTGCAGCTGCACTGGGAACAGCCCCCTTGGAAGATGCTCATGTTGTGCCGCTCTGTGCCATGCCACTCTGGGAGGGCGGGCAAACAGCTTCAGGTATGGATCCCCTGTCCCAGCACTGGGGCTCTGGCTTCAGCTACCGGCCGCCTTCCTGGGAGCTGGAGCCGGAGCCCCATTTACTGGGGCAGGAGCCTGGCTGACGATGCTTGCCCAGGGTGGTGTGGCACTGCAGGGGTAAGATCTCCAGTGGCAACTCCTGCTCCCGGTGTGGGATACAGAGCAGCACTTGGCTGGGTCACAGACATTGGCGGGAGCACAGTGAGGGCTGCCCTAGTGTGAGCGGGTGGGCCTTAGCTTCATGCAAAGCACGGTGGGGGTCAGGCGGACTGCAGCACTCAGGTGAGCTGCTGCAGGCAACCCTCCACCTTTCCCTCATTGGTTTCATAGATTTTAGGGTCAGAAGGGACCTATTATATCATCAAGTCCGACCCCCTGCCCTGGGCAGGAAAGAGGGCTGGGGTCAGGTGACCCCAGCCAGGTGTTTGTCCAGTCTCCTCTTAAATACCTCCAAAGAAGGGAACAGCACCACTTCCCTTGGAAGCGTATTCTGTATTTTGGCAACCCTCACTGTAAAGAATTTTTTCCTGATGTCCAATCTAAATTTACTCTCCTTTAGTTTGTGGCCATTGTTTCTAGTTACCCCAATGGGTGCCCTGGTAAACATCGTATCCCCTATTTCCTGCTGTCCCCCCATGATGAGTTTGTAGATGGCCACAAGATCACCTCTCAGCCTTCTCTTGCGGAGGCTGAAGAGATTCAGCTCCCTCAATTGGTCCTTGTAGGGTTTTTCCTGTAGGCCTTTAACCAGATGGGTGGCCCTCCTCTGAACTCTTTCCAGGTTATCTACATCCCTCTTGAAGTGCGGCGCCCAAAACTGGACGCAGTACTCCAGCTGAGGCCTGACCAATGCCTCATAGAAGGGAAGTATCACCTCCCTGGACCTGTGTGTGATGCACCTACTTATTCAAGAAAGAGTGCAGTTAGCTTTACTTATTACCTCATCATATTGGCGACTCATGTTCATTTTGGAGTTGACCATGACTGCAAGATCCCTTTCTGCAGTTGTGCTACTCAGTATGGTACCTCCCAGGCTATAGGTGTGTTGATGATTCTTCCTTCCCAGGTGCAACACACGGCACTTGTCTTTGTTAAATTGCATCCTAATCTGTTGCGCCCACTTCTCCAGCCTGTCCAAATCCACATGGGTTTGCTTCCTGCCCTCTAGTTGGTTTACCTCCCCGCATAGTTTGGTGCCAACTGCAGACTTGGACAGTCTTACCTCCCCTTACCAAGAGCAGACTCTTGGGACCTAGTGCACAGGCAGTCCCCTGCTACACTGCCCTCCCACATCTGGCTGTGCACCCCCCATCTGGCCGCCAGGGGTACATTTATTTAAAAAGGTTGAAAAAGTCTGCCTTAAGGAGTGATAAGACTTAATTAACATGTACTTGCATAGTGGAAGACTTTTACTAAGACATAAGCATCTGATTTAGTTATAAAACATTTCTCTCAGTGACCAAGACTTAAAACCCCACTTGGTATGTTTTGGCTGCACCAGAAGTTCGGGGGGTTTTTTTGTTTTTTGTTGCTTTTGTTGTGTCCTTAAAAATTATTAATAGCTTAAGGGCATAAATCCATTCTATCTGCCCTAAGAATGAAAGTACCTCATTGTAAAACTCATTTTTTAGGCAAGTCTGACTACGAAGATGCATGCATTAATTAGTTCTTGCTTATAAAAATCCAATTCATTAAGCAATTAATTCACCAAAGAAGCTCAAGCTTGTATGGAAAGCTTGCATCCCTTTTGCTCTGCATTACGAGTGTTAATGATTATATTAGTCCACATTAATTCTGCTTCCAGATTGACTCTTCATTACATAGGTTAAGGTCTCTGCCATGATACTCAAAGCCCAATTAGTAGACGTGTAAGCTAATCAAGCTACATCTCCTATTGGACAAAGGAAAATAAACTAGAACAATCTTTCCCTCTCTTTGTCTCTCAAGTGTTTGGGAACAGCACCAATCCTTAAAGGACGGGGCCATATCAGAAGATCAGAATAAGAAAATTCTGTATTTAGGCACTGATTTAGTTTCCACTGAAGTTAATAAGAAAGATAAATTGGTTTTAATGGGAGCTGACTCAAGACTATAACAAAAATATACTACAATATTGTTAGCCTAGGTACAGTTTAGATTTTTCAATTAGTACAGACAGCATTAAAGTAGTAGCAAACTTGGTTAAGTCATTGGCTGATGACATCAAACTGAAAAACAAAAAACCTGTCATTCTCTCCCACTATCTAATATTTAAGTGTGCAAAAATGTTAAAATCCATCTTTTTTACTAATTATAATGGGACCTATTAAAATGTTTTTTATTAATGTCTTCAAATAACTTGGCTGGGAGAGCATTCATTTGATACCCAAAATAGCACGAATATTTCGGTGTTGTGTTTGAAAAATCTTTAAAAATATGCTTTAACTTTATAATCTACTTGTGTTGGAAAAATCACTATTGTACCTGGTTATTGTATCTATCACAACAAAACCAGTGTTACTATAACACCACCCAAGCCATAAATCTCGTTCCTTGGTCTAATGTTATGGAAGAATGTCATGTTACTGTACTCAAGTGCTGTAGACTTTTTTTACATTGACCCAGTCCATCGATATGTGTGACTTGTCTTGCTGTCAGACAAATATGACTCTTGTATAAATACAGAAAGGATAACAACTTTTTAACTCCTTTGGTGCTTATGACTACAGGGTTGTAGCTCTAAAGTCCACTGCTACTCTGCCCACTTCCATGCATTCTGCTCAGTAATGGGTGCATGCTGTAAAGAATTTGCCAGGGTTGTTTCCATGAGTGTGCCACTCAAGGAGTTAATCTCACAATTTTGTTCCTAATTATACTTTTTGTGATGTTTGAAAACCTTGCAACATATTCACTCTTGCATCTAAGCAGGTATTGCCATATTATTGGTGACTTGGTCATAAGCAGTAACATCCACTGGTTAGGAATGCCAACATTTTCAGAGGTCTCAGAGACATAGGTGCCATTGAAGACTTGTACCTGGTTTTACCTTTATAATCCCACAATCCTGGACAGTGCCCACTCGCCCACCCTTCGTACTCCCAAAGTGTGACAAGGTTACATCTGGAAGTCCTGTTTCATAAATTTAGAAGTTAATTCTGTGTTACTGACTCCTATCATTTAATTTTATTATTGTTGTTTTACATCACCAGTCCTCAACTATAGGGAAAAACTCTGAAGACAAAAACAAGTCTGCCAATTTTATCATTTAAAAAAAAAATCTCATGACTTCAAGTCAATCTCATGAATTTTTTGAGTGTTGATTTACAACACTGCCCATCATAAGTATTAAAAAATTATACTTTTTTTCCCACGGCTCTTTTCCTCTAGTATGGAGTATTTTGATTGACTGACTGATTTGTGTATGCAATAAAACTTTTTTTTTTAATTCCCATGAGTATCAATGTCCATTAAAGTTGATTCTGGAAGCTGTGACATGATCCCCAGAAATGATGGATACTCTTGATAATGGTAATCCATCCTCAAAACAAGGTCATTCTTGGTGTAATTCTATTGAACCCACTGGCATTATAGTATGGATAGATTTGAGCTATATAGCATCACAGCTGAATTGGGGAAACTCCCTACTTCAGTTTTTAGTGTCTTTCTTTTTAATAAGATGAAATAGCCATGCTCATTTGTATCCAGAGGAAAAAATTAGACAATACCTAACACTTGTAATTGAGAATTGTACTGAAATACCACAGTAATGGGTGGATATATTTCATATATCTATAAATCATACCACAGGTAGAAGAAAGATATGCTTACTATAACTGCTAGAAATGGTCCAAACCTCTAATTTAAGTGTTTTGCCTAAGCAAATAATTTGCAACAAGCTCATGGTGACCATCAGTAGACATAGTACTGATATTTTTTGGTCAAGCCAAAATGATAGATAATAGCTTCTATGTTACTTGAAGTCAACTTGGATCTATGAATCTAACTTGCCAGCAACTCTTGGAGATGTTTTCTGAAATGGCACTCCAGCTGCTGTCAAGCCTGCTTTAAGGAAAGATGTTTGAGTGCCTGCTTTGTGTGAGGTTAACATGCCAGCTCACCTTTACTATCTGTCTCCTGTCTCGATTCTTTTGGTCAGTATTTACATGAAATCTGGGCCCTTCTGAATTGGAAGTCTTTCCATTGACTGAAGTGGCCGCGTCCAGATGAGCGTGGATGTTTGGTTCCCTGGGGACAACTAGCAGTGGCACATCTTGTGTCACTGCTAGTTGTCCCTGGGGAATGCCAGTGCCACATGTCCACTGGCACACAGCAGGGTACCCAGTGTGGGTTAGGGGAGGCTGGGGCCAGCAACCGTGCTGGCGCTAGCAGCCTTACCTGGGGTCCTGGGGCTGGGGAAGCTGCAGCTTGAAGCCTGGCTAGCAGCTGGAGCATGGCTCTAGCAGGCCAGGCTCTGGTTTTGGGCGGCATGTGCTGCAGCCACATGTGCTGCTCCGCACTTCTTTTTTTTGTCTGCGTGGGTTTTTTTGACTCTGGGGTTTCCCGGGGTCAACCCCCTGCCCAATGCTAAAAGGTAGCAGCACAGGAAATGCCAGTGTGCAGTGTGTGGCACTGCAGGTGGGTCTGCAGTGCCACCTAATGCACGACCATGCTCATCTGGTCATGGCCAATGAGGCCAGGGTTCACTTTTTGTCTCTCTCAAAGATTTCTGATTCTGATTGATCATGTTCTTGTATGCTGATGCCCTTGATGATCTGTTTCTACTATTGTCCCATCAAATATTTTAGGTTAAAAAATACAAATTATTTGTATTACATTGATGACTTCTGAGATTGAGGCCTTTTTGTGCTAGGTGAAATACATCATGTAGAAAAAGACAGGTCCTGTCCTAAAGAGATGAAATTCCAAATTGAAAAGATAGAGTGGGAGAGGGAAGGTAATATTATCTTCATTTAACAGGAGAAAGACGTAGACATAAACTGGTTGTGGTTCACAGTTCCAAAATCCTGTTGGTTCTCTATAGGGCTTATATACGTCAGGAAAATTTACCTTACATGATTTGCTCGAGGTCGTACTGGGAGTCTGGCAAGGCCTAGAATGGAATGTGTGTGTTCTGCCACCAAGATCAAGGCCTTAGCCACAAATTCAGGCTTCTGTTTCTAAAGACGTTGCCACAAATCTAAAATCCCATTGCAATCAGGGCTTGGTTTTTTGCTTATTTGTCAAATTAAAGTATCCCCTTGCAGTGTTAAAATCCAGACAAAGCAGCATTTTGTGTTTGTATGAGGATCATAGAATAATATCAGCTAAGACATTTAATGAGGCCATTGAAACAGCCCAGTGTAATTTCAATACCAGAACACAGAGGAATGCAAATATCAAACAAATAACATCATCTCAGAACAAATTTCCCAGGTTGTTATTGTGAATGCTTCTCCCAGATGTGGTAAATTGTGTCGGTTTATTTTATTTTTAAAAATATGTATACTGCTTCAAACTTGTTTTTAAAATTGTTTTCCCTTAGGTGCACAGGCTTTACTTTCTTCAACAGCATCATGGTCCATCATGACCACTACAAGTACCGTGGTAGGACTTGATTTTCTTTAACTTAAAAATGTTGTGTATTGAAGAGACATTGCTGGCCCTATACTTTTAGGTTGTAAGGAAATTTATTATAATTCATTGGATTTCTTTGATATGCTTCCTGGGTATGCTAGTGAGGTCTTCTAGTGAGGAGAGAAGGAGGGCTGTCTTCAGTTAAAAAAGAAAAGAGCTAATTGTTTGGGGGCATGGGGAAGGGGCTCTGGGGGAAGGGAAATACCAGATTATATAACAGTTTCTCCCTTCCAGTTTCATAAAAACTCAAAACTCTGTAAAAATTGGTATTTCTGAAATACTTCAATATCTTATAAAGATAAAAAATTCATTAGTTTTTTTTTCAAACTTTTTTTAGTTTTGGAATTTGAATAATCTGGGCTAGTTTTACAACTAAAATGTCTTCATATGTTTAAGAGACTGTTGAAGAAATAGTGTTTTAAATAAATGCATAAGTGCTTTAAACAGTCTAAATATAAATAAATTCCATTTTAAAATCTACTTTCATTTTCTTGATAGCTACTATTTCAAAATCCTATTACTATATTTTCTCACATACAATACACCCTGGAATATATTATGCAGCTTCTTTTTGAAAGGCAGAATGGAGGGAATTTTTTTCCCACCTTATGGCTGCATAAATCAGCCTAATCTTCAGGCAACTCACCTGCTTAAAGTAATAGAAGCAGGTAGCAAAATTGCCTAAGAAAGGTTAATTTGATTAGTAGAACATCAAGGCCATTAAAAAGAAGAGAAGTGAAGAACAATGGGCCATTAAGTCAACTGATTGCCTTGGGGGCTTGAATAATAATACTTCTTCACTGTGGAATAGGAATCAAAGCAAGTTGCTTCTCTTCCAGGTAGGAAATCAGCTTCCCTTCTTAATAAATGCACTCCAGATTTGGGGGGCTGATTTTTGGGGGGAAAATGTAGGTTGTAGGTGATAAAATATGGCTGGTTGTTTTTTCTTGTTGTTGTTTGTTTTTTTCCCCTTTTTCTGGAAACCAAGGTAGACACGACCTGAATTTCTAATCAAAAGATTAGGTAGACAAGTTGTCAACTTCACAAGTATTATTGGTTTCAGATCTTCACAAACTTTTTGTCCAGTGTGTACGTGTGTAGGATACATATAATCTTGATCGGCTTTTCAGGTTTTTCTTTTTCTTTCCCTGTGGCCTGTTCTGCATAATCATAGCATTACAATTTACAATTTGTTTGCTCTTGGATCAGGAAATGAACTGTTCCTCTGCTTCCCCGGTGCTCCTGTCAGAGAAGCACATAGGTCAATTCTTGGAGTTGCATTGTTAGAATATACTGTGGATTATTTGAAAGAATTGGCACCAATCTTGACTTGACTTCTTTGGTGTTAAGCACAGAAGAAATGGTTGATTACTAGGATATGCCTTGATGAGATGACATTGCTGTCTTGTAGCTCTCCACAGATGCCTATCATCCTATCATAACTAATCTAACTGAGGAGAGAGGAAACTTTCAGTCCCCAAATGCAATGCTGCACTACCTGGAAAACATATCAATCAGCTTGCCCAACAAATCTCTGGTGGAAAATACTGCCTTGAACCTGACAGAGGTAAATGTGTATGCAGGTCTTAGTATGAAGCCAAGTAACATTTTTCTTTCTTCAGAGGCTAGAACATAATATGCAGCTTTGAAATATTTTCAATGATTACAAGGTACCTTATTTAAAAAAAAGAACAAGACTACTATTATAAGTATGCTTTTGATAAGGAATCCAGTTTAATTAAAGTCTTTGTCAATTTATAAGGCATGGCATGTAATATTATTTACCCTAAATGGAGCATCCAGGCAGTATAGTAATGGATTAAATATTATCATCTGGTTAGACAATTGAGAAAGAGACATACATAAAAGTGCTTTTTTGCTATGTTTAAAAGTAGTAATTAAGGGCATCTATACATGTGCTCCAGGGTGGAGGGGAGTTGCTTTAACTGGAGCAGATCTGAGAGCTGCTCTTACTAAAGCATCCACAGCGTCATGTGTATTCAGCATCCCCGCACTTCAAAATGGTGACAGGGGCACTTTAACTGAAGCTCATTCGATAAGCTTTAGTTAAAGCACCTCCGCCACTATTCTGAAACGCGGGGATGCTGAATCCATGTGACGCAGAGGCTGCTGGAGCTTGCTAATTAGCATGCTTCAGCAGACTTAATTAATCAAGTCTGCTCCGATGCATACTAATTAGCACGTGTCAGAGCAGAGCTCCATTACATGTATAGGTGCCCTAAATTCCTGTGAAATTTAATGAAATAATTCAATTCCTGGAAGAGGCTCATATTTCTTTGCTTGGTCTCACTTATTCAAAACAGGGTTCGATCTGGCAGTCCTCCCTGCCATAGGCATAGGACAGACCTAGCGATCTTGGATGGCAGGAGCAATGTAGCCTCAGGATCATGGAACTTAAATGCGAGCCACCTCTACAATGGGTGTTGCAGCCTGCATTGAGTTCTCTGTTGCCATAGCTAGACTGTTACTGATGGCAGCACTAGTTAAGGCTTTCTCCGTCCTACGGCAGGAATGGGAATGGCTTCCGATTTGATTCGGAGAGATTTAATGAGTCTCCTGATTCGATTTGGATTTGGAGATTTGTCTGCCAAATCAGGCCGAATCTCCTCCAAATCGAATCAGCAACTGAAGCTTCGCACAGCCCTAGGTTGGATCTAATTTGAAAATTGTCATTCATCCTGTCAGATATCACGAGTTCTGTCTACACAGTTCTCATTGCCACTTTATTGCTCATTCATGCTGTCCCGTGCTGCATTGTGAAGCATGAAAGTGATGCGCAGACAGAAAAATGGAACGCGATAATCTTTAGCAAAGCTGTTTTGGGAAATAAACACAACAGAGTCCTGATCTTATATGCGGACTCTGTCATTCACCTGATTGATGGGTTAGGCTTTTTATTATTTGTAGCTAATTCCCAGAAACACAGCTGCTGAGCATACATACTATTTTCTGTAAAGGACATAATTTGCAGATGGTTGCCTCTGTCCTAGTTGTCATATGGCTCACAGCACAAAGGATTTGGAGTTAAATGCTATGCAACTCACTTTCTGATTGCAGTTACATTTTCATAATACACTGCTTCTGACAAACTCTATTCATGTGTCATGTGGATATGATTTAGCTCTGTTCAGTATGAGTGCAGGGTGCAGGTAGGGGCTGCCTGTTGGTGGGTCAGGGGCTCTGACATTCTGTGAATCCTTCTAGTGCTCCTTTCTCCATTGTGGTCATAGCACCACTGTTAGAGGCTATGTTATCTGCCATTTTGTGGCTTTGGAAAGAAATTCTTCCTTCCCTGCCTCCTCTCAACTGGTTTGGCAAGATGGGCTTGTGAGTCCAAGATGCAACGCAATTTAAGGTGGGATTTCATGTTGAGTCTTTCAAATGGCCAGCATGGGTGTCTCAGTCTAGGGATAGGAGTGAAAGGTGAGTATAACCTTTTAGCCCCAGCATATACCCCCTATCTCAAGACTTGCAAAGGGGTTCTTAGAGGCTCAGTTCAGTGTTGCTGTTAGGATAGTCAGATGGGGATTAGGTGACCTGGTTTATTTCTAGCTGTACCACAGGGCAAGTTGCTGTCTATGCCTCAGTTTTCCCTTCCCACCCTCCATCCTCTCTGTTCAAACAAGGATTTCCTGTCACTAGGTGTTTGCAAATTGCCTGCAAAAGTGGCTACTTGGTCTCAATCTAGGTGCTGACATACTTTAATGATCAGCCAAAATGGATGGTAGGAACCAGAGTTCGGATGTTTGCTGCTTGAAAAACTGAGCTTGAACTCTTGGGTGAACACAGGTGTGTTGTTATATGGATGTACTTGAGTTCACTGGGTGATTTCAAGCTTTGCTCAATTCCACTGGTTTCCGTAGCCTCAGCCGGGGTGTAATGGATGTAATATAGGAGTGCCATTGTAATGTTACTATTAACAAATAAACTATTACTTTAAAATGTTACCATAGAAAAGATAATGAGAGGACTGGCAGGCAGGGATGGCTGTGACTTGCATGAAAATATACCCATCATTTTAAAATGAATCTAAGGAAGTCTTAATAGAGATCTGCCTTGAATGTTTACCGGGAGATGTATAGCTGATGAATAAGTAATCAAATAATGTTTTCTTATTTATGTTTCAGGCTTTCCTGAAGGCTGTTGGAGATGTTCTTTTATTGCCCGACTGGGTTGATACATCAGTGGTAAGACAAATGGCTTAGGGTTGCAAGCTAATTTTGGTGAATATTTTCATACAGATAATAATAAAACAGGCTGCATCTCTTATCCTTCAGTTTTGGGTTCCTTAGAGGAGCAACCTGTTTATTCCCTCATCATGTCCTTTTTGCTTCCAAAGTAAACACCTAGAGGAAGTAAATGATGTTTGTTTGGTAATGGGTTTCCACGTGTTAAAATAAGGTAATTTTCTCTGTTACTGCTCCAAGATGTTCCATAAGAACTGGTGAAACAGCATAAATATAAGGCTTATATGGGAATGAGTCTTGTCATTTCTTCTCTTAAATAGCAATGGTGACACGTAGGGAGTGCATGGGGGTGCACATGCACCCTCTGAGAGAGCTGGTGCACCCCCTGACTTGCCGTGCTGCTTAGGCAATGGGCAGGGAGGGGGCAGGTGGGAGCGCTGGTGCCCCCCCCCTGCAAGCGTCAGCCGATTGTTGCTGCCGCTCCAAGAAGCGGCTGTAGCTGCTCCCAGAAGTGGCTGCAGCGATCGGCCGCGGGGGCCCCGCTAGGGCAGCAAGATTGGCCTCGGGGGGATCCCCACCCAGTCAGCAGGATTGGCCGTGGGGGTTATATAGTATTTAATAACATAATTTCTACACAGAAATTAGCCCACATATCAATTTCTTCTCAAAGGTGGTCACATAAAAATAAACAAGAATCCCACCCCCCAAATTATTTTTGCCAGAATCTAGATGTTTATTGGATATTAATTTAAGCATTCCCTTTTTTTTTTTTTTCTCCTTTCAAAGTACCCTATTTACTTGCATACATCGCACGCCTCCCCCACCCCTGAAGCTACGGGACAGTGTGGGGGGCGGAGAGGGGGGAGTGTATTTAAATGAAGAAATGCAGCTAGCAGAGGACTGAAACTGCAGGAGCTAAACTGCCTGGCCTCTCTTGTGCAAAAAGGTTATACTCAGGAAGGCTACAGTCTTTCACTCTTTATTTGGAAAAATAAACCTATAAATCATGTATTAGCAAAAGAGCTGCTTTAATGCGAGGCCTGATCCAGCTTGGTGCTTAAAGTAACGGACTGTCATCTGATGGGGATTGGAGGAGTCATTAATTTGGTACCCAGTAGTTTAACTACTTCGGGGGTGGGGTGGTGGTGACTAGGGCAGCAACTTGGGGCATTACCTTTTTGGGAGCAGGATTGGGGAGAGGGGTGCACAAAAATAGTTGCTACCACTGTGGTTGGCCATGCTATTGCCATTGGCTCTGCAGCTGCCAGCACTGCCCTGGGTGCTCTGGCTACCCCATAGGCTGCCTGGCTATGCCTCTGTTGGCAGGTTTCTGGAAATCCTTGGTATTTTGTAAGACGGGGCTCTCAGTAGCCTTGTCATGCAACATACGTTTTCACAGGGATATTGAGAGAGTCGAGTAAGTTCTTGTGCACAATCATAACAGCACTTGAACCATTTTTTAGTCCAGGGCTCTGCTATGAATCCATTTTTATAATCAAGTCTCTTTTTTTTTTTTTCTCCCCCCAGTCTGTTTCTGTTGTGGGAGGCTTAATTGAAACGATTGACAATGTGATGGTGCATATGGCTCGCAATCTGGAAGGAATCCACCCAGCTGTAACCATCGAGGGCACATCAACTGTGGCAGGGAGGAGTTAACAAAAGATTTCACTCTCCATCTAAACTGGAGTCTGGCTGATCCTAATAAATACTTCTGTGCCTGCAGCTCTTCCCTTGTCAACATGGAGAAGGAAATCGAAATAGGTTATTTTTCTCTCTCTTAATCTAACAAATTGTATCAATCACAGCCAGATGATTATATAGTCAGAGAAAGGTAAGCCGCTTTGCTCAACAATCCAGCTTCCTTTGAGGTTATTTTTGGTGGGGGGTGGGAGGAAGAGGAGGGAGAGGTCAAAACCATGTGCTTTGAAATGGTATTTATGGATTTAATCCAGTGATAGATGAAGTGTTACAGTAATGCCTAAGCCTTTTAAACAAACTTTTAAAGTTATAAGTGTCTGGAAAGTGTCTGGAAGGTGAATTTTAATCTCGGGACAAGAAAATGGGATAAATGGTCCAAATTCTTACTGGCCTTTATACCTATTGCAAGGTCCCCCCGCCATCCTCCCTAGAAATCTCTTCTTACGCACATGTATAGCGACAAACACAATGGTGCCCTCATCTCATGTGTGCTTCTCTTCTAGGTTTTGTAAATTAATAATAATTGAGTTCTGAAATTCCTTTCTATGGCTTTGCCTTCTACATAAAGAAGTAAAGTTGGAGCAAGGAAGAATCACATGAATTACCCCAAGCTGCTTCATCTCCCATGATGTCCTAGGCAGTGACATTCTAAAACTAAACAGTACGATTCTGAAATGTCTTCAAATGTCAGGGAGAAAAAAAGAAGAGAGGAATCAATCAATTTTGCTTACCTTGGTGCCTTGTTAAGCTCAGTTTGTGCACATTGTAAAGTCATCCATGGTATATTAACACCCCATATACTTCTTTTTCCCCTCATAAAGAAGTCACATCTTAAAGGCAATTTTACTCTCAGGGGGTTTATTCTATTTTCTCCAAACAGCTGGGGTTTTACAGTCAAGACTTGCAATAGCTATTAAAAGAGCAAACTCCAGTTTTGCAGTCAACTAGGTTGTAAAGGTTATTGATTTTTATCATATTTTTTGTTTGGATTATTATACAGATTACTCTTTGGTCAAAATGCCTCCTCAGACTCTGAATTTGTCCCATTACCGCTTCCCATCTCAGGGAAAG